CACACACACACACACACACACACACACACACACACGCACACGCACGCGCGTGCAAATGCGAGCCAATCTCCACCAGCAACATGATTTGCCGGTCCCATAGCAAAACGAAACTGACAGGGTAGAAAAACACGAAATCAACGAAACAGCACACAATCGAACGAACAGTCCTTCATGACTTGGAACGATCCAGAGAAGAAGATTTGGCCACTGTGCAACGGCCACCAGCCGAAATTGAGAACGGGGTCACGGCTGGCGTTCTTGCCTCCCACAATATCGATGAGCTCTCTAATCTCTCCCTACCCGGCCCCCTTGCACACGGAAACGGGCCACAGCTGGGCTTCTTGTCACGTACGATGTGCGTATGACCTCTCTCTCTCTCTCTCTCTCTCTCTCTCTCTCTCTCTCTCTCTCTCTCTCTCACACACACACACACACACACATACAAACACACACACACACACACACACACACACGATGATAAATTGGAGCTCGCTCCATTACTCAACTTTTAACATGTATCTAGACTGTGAATGGACCAGATGCATTTCGAATGTATTTGGAACATTAGCAGTCCAGATACGTTTAGACTGTTGTGCAGTGGAGCAATGCCGCTATTTCACCACAAATTAAGAAGACCGAAGTTGTTCTGGCATGGAAACAATATCTTGTATCCCCTTTTTTTTTTCCTTTTTCTTTTTCTTTCTTCTTTTTCGTTTTTCGTTTCTTTTTTCTTTTTTCCTTTTTCTTTGAACTTTTTCCTTTTTTCTCTCTTTTTCTGAAGGAAAGGAAAGGTGAAAACTTACCACGGCCACCTCTCCTGTTCATCGTTCGATTCCTGCAAACGCAAAAAGCGCCATGCCAAAGCAAATCATCGTAATAAACACGTGTCCTCTCATGGCCATAAAGCACGGACACAAACAAGACGAAGAAACGGAGAAGCAGCAGCAGCAGCAGGAGGAGGAGGAGGAGGAGGAGGAGGAGGAGGAGGGTAGGGAAAGGAACAGGAGAACAAAGAGAACCCCTCTCTCTCATCGGCAAAATCTCTGGAGCAAGAAAGGTTCATTTTCAAAGAGGGAGCGCGGAAGGAGAGGAGAAGGAGAGGGGAAGAAGAGGGAAAGGAGAGAGGAAGGAGAGGGGAAGAAGAGGGATAGGGGGAGGGAGGCAGAGACAGGAAGGGAGGGGGAAGGGATGAGGAGAGGGATTGGGGGAGGGAGGAGGAGGGAGGGAGGAAGGGAGGAGGGAGGGAGGAAGGGAGGAGGAGAGGGATATAGGGAGGTAGGAGGGAAGGATAGCGGAAGGACAGGGGAAGGGGGAGGAAGGCGGAGGGAGAGGGGAAGGAAGGAGGAAGGAGGGAGGAGGAAGGAGGAAGGAGGAAGGAGGAAGGAGGGCAGAGGGCAGAGGGCAGAGGGCTGGGAACAAATCTCGGCGCCACCTATTCGACCCGTCTTCCATCGAACATAACGGACCCCGATAACGAATGTTCACAAGCTATTTCTCCGGTTCGGTGCAGCCATGATGAGGGTGCGTTGTGTTCAGCGGAAGATGGGTAGTACCGAACTGAAGGTGGTAAATCCTCTACACGTATAGCAGCAAGCACACCCCTTGGCCCTGAGATCAATCCCTAACTGAAGGTGGTAAATCCACCATAACCCTGGTTGTGATTAAAAGCATCAACGATAGCTTGAGGTGGGGACCACCAACCACTGCCCTCAAGGTACCTGCGACAAAAATCAAAGCAGACTATCACTCACCCACACCAGATGGAAAACTCTACATACTATTTTTTATTTATTTTTTTAAGATCCGATTTGATTTGTAGTAGATGCGGGAAGAAGAAAAAAAAAAAAAAAAAAAAAAAAAGTGTTTGATGAATTGGAAGGCCCGGAACTTGGGCCTCTCACCGCATGCACAAAAGACAAAAAAAAATATGGCTGTGTATCTTTCCATGTTCTAGCGGAAGATTCATTCTCATTTTGCACATTTGTTTGGTGAGTACTGGAGCAAGGCGCCTTATCTTCACTGGCGATGTGTTTGTTTGATCGAGTGTCAGAGTTTGTCAGAGTTTGTACTTGGCTAAGTGGAGCACGTAAATTTGCTCCTGTTTTCATCTTCACAAAAAAGATTCCTTACCTGTCATCGGATCTCTCCGAGAGTCCCCCGCTCCCTCTTCCCCCCTTCTTTTTCGCTCGTGTAGAGGTAGAGACAGTTAAAGAGAGCAAGTGCGGAGAAGCAGATAGCCAGATAAAGATTCTCTCTCTCTCTCTCTCTCTCTCTCTCTCTCTCTCTCTCTCTCTCTCTCTCACACACACACACACACA